CTACACGACGTTTACAAGAAAGTCTTTGTGACATTGCCATTTTGATTTTAGTGGCAAATGCTCTTGGCCGCTGAACTTAAGGCGTCACTGCAAGTCATCACTCAATTAAAATAACGTAAACGTTAATCCGTGTCACTAGTGCCCCTGACAGCAGTCGGTCCCTGTTCAGAGTGGAATATCAGGATTGTCTCATTCATTCAACAAAGTATGGATGAATAAGATTTATGGGTGTGACTGTTTTTCTTCCTGAGGCTAGCAAAAAGAAGGCAATTTGCTCCTGTCCTGTCAGCTTTGCGCCCTCTTTAGTGCTCTTTTTTTGTCATCGGGGAAAAATTGTTATCCAGCGCTGTTACCTAACCCAAACCGTACTGCTAGCCTTTCTGTTTTTTCTAGGGCCAGCCACGAAGTGTGACTTATTTGCGACCGCTGGTTGGACGATTCGCTCCCACGGGAGGCTTTAGCTATCGGGCGCCTGGAGTGTTGGCAGCCGCAACAAGAGGTCAAAGCTCAGCTGGCCATGGCGTGGAGATTTCTTTTAGTTGTCGTCGTCAATCGTGAGGTAGGTGGTTGAGTCGCGATGGAATCCCGGATGTGGGTATTACCTGAAGGGCCAGAACCGCGACAGATTGCCACGTCTGGCACAGCATTCCAGCGCCAGGCTTAGTCATGATTATGCCGGCGGTGCTGAGCCGCACGCTGCTTCGGGATGCTCATTTGACGGCGGGGATCGCCAGAAGCATGCGCAGTTTCTGTGAGGTACTCGCAGGTTGAAGAAGTGATCATTGGTGATACCGGAGATATATCGTGGGCTTCCAAAAGCTCCTCTCAGAATGGTGTAAGGTCAGTCTAATATGAGAAGGCGCCGCTGAGCGTCCACAGGAGTTTAGTAGTGGAGACCAGAGAAGGTGGGTGAAGAGAAAGGGCGGGGAAAGGAGCAGCAAGGGAGTTCGCGCATAAGCTACCCGCATAACTGCATTACCACAAGCAAACGGGACGACGGCGCCCATTAGAGCTCCCATACCCTGGAAAATAAACCAAGCTAGGATGTGAAGCAACAAGACAAAAAGTAGCAGGTGTGTTTTAGCGTGGCACTGTGTGCAGTTCCTCTAAGATTCTTATCCTCTCAAGACTAGCAACTGCGATGCTGGGCGCTCATGCGCTGCTCAACAAGGCGGTCTGAATGGCCCACATGAGATTCAAGAGAGGCCAGATACAGTTCAAACGGAGGTAGGTTTCACCTGAACAAACAACAGCATAATAAGATTGTGTCGTATGAGCTGATGTGTTAATGCAAATGGATGATCGTTTATAATGGATATATCTGCCCTTGTGAAATTTAGACTAATATTGAGTGCAGGTCCACGATTGACACCAACATATAATTGCGTTCAACTCCTGAAAATCGACGATAACTGAGTCTAGATCACATCTGCTCTGAGATATTCTCTTCGAGACTGCTGGGTAGTATGTGTCCAGTAATCCCCTCCATTTTCCCAAACAAATGCAGGGCGCTACCTAGAGCTGTATTCCCTATTGTCTTCCATCCATTCGTATCTAGAGGGAATATACGAGGGCTAACTCTCCTGGAACTCGACACCCTATACTACGAAAATTCAGGCATTTCAATCACCAAAAACCTCGCCAGACGAAACACATTTTATAAGCTTCGAGTTGAATGATGGAGGACTTGTGAAATACACGAGCCACTATCGTGCTTAGGGTGCGAGTGTAGCGACGGGTATGCGACTCCCTACTATTCTCCTAGCAGCAACATGATTTCTCAACACCCACACTCTGGGAAAAGATCCTCTCGCGCGCGCTCCCGCGGATGCTAACGTGGATGGGGTGCTATTCATTTCATCTTAGTACATAATTAGTAAGACATACCTATTAAGGTTCCCTACCACCCTGTCTCTAGATCTGCAAAATTGACTCTCCCTCAATTGGATCTAGGACCCTCTACTCGATCCAGTCATTATTAGGAGATAGTCTAAGATATAAATAAAACAGCTACAAAAGAATTACTAATAGACTTAGAGCCTTATTTTAGCTCATATAGTCACATCCCACACGAGATCCTTAATGCACTATTTCATCTCTTTGGGTGAAATCATTGTTTTTGGCTTTATGCTATTGTAGACAGCCAAAGCAACTTGACAGGCAACGTATAGAGAGGTGATGGCAGTAGCACAGTACGAGCCTTCCTATTGAGCTACATTTTAAACCTGGTAGTTATCCGATAAATGAATCGAGATATACCCAGGATGCTCGTCAGAGTATAATAAATATGCCTGCCACTCTTGAAAGTACGTAGATAAGGATTCGTTCTTCACTTTAAGCTGGCTATTGAGGTGGATTTTTTTTTGTCATTGGGAAAATCTTTGATTCTCAATAATAGTTTGTGTTGATGCTCAGCTGTTTATTGAAGCCATTCAGGGGACTACAGTCACACCTAATGATGAACAACAATAAAGAGTAAACATAACAAATATATATCGCCTCTGGGTAGACATAAATTACTTAGTTTTCTACTTCATTTGGGCCCCCCACCCTCTGCATTGTTCAAATATACTGTAGGATAGTATTCGTATGCTCTCTACTTTTCTTCCGAGGGTTAGAGCATTTTGTGCACTCTGTCTTTGAGAGGGTGCGGCCCTCTCCTTCAAATCTCTGCCCGACTCGACAAAACTGTTTTTCGTTTGTTCATCAATACAGCTCGATGCTTGAGTAGCGTTTTTAGAGATACTTCATACAAGGATCTATTTTAATCTTGACCCATTACACTTTCATCTCCGAGTGAAACTGGCTCTTACCATGCTAACTCGTAAACTTGCAGATTTAGCAACACAGTATTGTATCTCGCAAAGTCTGGCAATCTAACTCCACCAAATATAGTGGCCACAGAGCAACGTGTGAGCGTGTGCCAGTAGTGTGATGAGCGTGCTTACATGTGTACAGCCACAGACGCAGTGCAGAACAGACATGACAAAGGACCAATGAAACACCTTTGCACAACAGGTGCTCTTGAGACAGGAATCCCCGTGCGTCACCGTTCGGAGTCCTTTTTCTTCTTAAGGCAGGCAGAACCCTCGGGACCCGTACTACACAAGCTTGTATCCCCAATGCCTCCTAGTGTTTGGCCTGGTAGCCGGCATGGTCATGCGCCTTGCCAAGACCCATTGGGCACTTGCCTGTTCAGCTGATGATCTGGGGGAACCACAAGAGATTTCTCCGTGTGTAAAATTAAATATCGGATAGCCAAGACAAGCAGGAGTCGGCCTGACAGTGATTATTAGGTGTTAGAACAATTGATGGGAACAAACAGGTTTAACCTGTTTTGCAAAAAGTACAGTAAGGAATGTCTCCATTTATCTAGGTCCTCAGCTCATACAATGAAAGACATTTAGCCGCGTCATAAATAAGATTAAAACTTAAATTCAGTGAAAGCTGTTACTCAAAACTCACAGCGACCTTCAACATGTGTTATAATTTATTTATCCACTTCTCCCTTCCATGTCTCTACTTGCTTCTAAACCATATAAGAAGCAAATAAATGTTGTGTTTTTTTGTTTTAGTCCGTCTGTCAGTTTCGTGATTACAGATTGAGGCTAATTTGCTGAAAATGTAGATCATAAATCAAGTAGAATGGGGGACCCCTGGACTGCATCTTTTCGTGAGCTTTGCCTTAAAGGTTTAAAAACAATTTGTGGGCAGATGACATGGTTTAATAATACTTAGGTGACGTGTACGCATTATTTTATTGGAGCATCTTGTCACCTTGTCGTGCTAGTGTACTCTTTGATCTGAAAAGTTTCCCAGAGACTGCCATTGATTGCGAGCCCATGTTGCGCTCTCTTGGATACCAAGGCTAACTTTGGGGTTAAGGTGTTAGTTCCCGTAGACTGCTGTAGTCGTCATATTTGTCTTGTTGATCCTGTGTTTAGTTTGTGATGCCAACTTCCTGTC